AGTTTTGGTTCCATTTACTTGCAGTTCAGAGAGATTGTTTAGATGTTGCAGCTGAATGGCTGAATAAAATCAGTACATCATTTTAATGTTGTGGGTATTCGGTATTTATTCATTTATCTGCATTAGCTTCGTCCTATTCTTCTGCATGACACACCAGTTTTTCTATGCCTCGTTTTTATTCTTATCTACTTGTCTCCACAAATGCCAGCATTCTATAAGGCTGATGTTCCATTTTTCTAATGTCAGTTCCATTGAAGTTGGTAGAGTAAAGCAAAATTAAACTTGAATGTGTGGAGTAATGTTAGATGTATAAAGACTTTCTGTTTTGCAGGCTGGAATCCCCATTCAGCAAACACGAGAGGTCATCATCCGATGTCTCACTGATCATCTGGGAGAAGATGCAAGTGATAAAGGACTTCGGGGTAATTACATCAAATATAGTCGCAACAAAATGTATGAATCCTTTGTAATTGCATGGTTTTCCGAAACAATTTGTTTTAAAATGTAAATCAAATAAGATGTATAGACAATTTAGTAACACAAATAATAATAATCTTTTGTGTCTTTATTGAATCATCCATTAAATATTTATAATATTGGTGGAAAAAGTAAGTTAAACTGAGGAAATTGCCTGACCTACACCTTAAATGTTTCAGTGTTGTACTTTTCAGTATGAACAATACAATGCTTTGTGTGGTATTAAAGTAGACTGTGTTTGTTCATTATGAAACTTAGCTAAAGATCTGTATTCAAAAACCTTGGTGATCTTAGCAGAGCTTGCTGCTATCTACTGGGACTAACCTATGCCTTGGATCTGAGCTACCCCAAGAAGCTCAGATGTAGTTTCGAGGTATTTCAGAAATTACTGATGGGGCTTGATTCAGCAAATCTCTCAACTAAAGTTCAGAGACTAAAAAAACTACCTGCATACTTAGATTGCTGTACACTGACTACTGTTAAGCAATATGTCCTGATACCATGTGACTTTTTCATTTGCAAGATAAATCAGGAAAAATATTTTATTCTGGACTGTTGAGATATTACTTGCAGTTCAACCATATGCAGAGTTCAGTTCTGCCTGTTGGGCTCACATTTCATTGGCAAGAAAAAACTGGTTGAAAGTTAAGCTATATGAAACGCTGGGCAGTTTTACAATTTTATAGTCCAAGATTTTCTTCATACTTTTTACACCACAAAGCTTTTATTGATACTTTTTGTTGACTTTGACTTGAGTGCAAAATTTTGCTATTGTTCCAATTGTTCTTTATGATTTTACTATATGTGTTATTGACAAAATTTCACTTTGGACGGTTATTGTTTAATGATGTGTTACTTAAAGAACCAATATGTATGTATGTATGTATATGTAATCTCCCCCTTGTGGCATTTAAAATGGGTACTGCAATCCAATGTTTGCTTTTTAGGTCAGGTAGAATCAGTTATAACTCAACTAGTCCGCTGCCAGCTTCCATAACTCAAATCAAGCAACCTGGTCGATGTGGAAATGTGCTACATATTGCCTTAACAATGCTTACCTGTTCCTTACCTGCTCTGGTCAAAATTAAAATGGACCATTATGGACCAGAATGGAAATTTAGAAGAGGACATACTGGTGACTGCATTGTTACCAGATAAGTCAGCATCTCAACATAGCTTGTTTCCTTAATCTCTGATGATATATTAAGGTCATTTTATGATTCAGTACAGTAGATATTACATATTGGTCCTACAACTTTAAAGTGTTTTAAGTGCTTTTTACTGTTACTGGTACAGTTCAGCCAATTCTGCCTGTTGATCTCATATTGTCATTGGCAAGAAAAAAACTGTCCTCATAAGAAAATTCACAGTCCTCGACCTTGTTTTGCTTTTTGACCTTGCCTCTTGCCTGACAATTTTGGATACCTTTGCCTGTTGGTCACGACCCTGATTCTGTTTTTGGATTTTGCCTTTGCCTGCTGTTTTTCGGATACCTTTGCCTGAGTGACTGTCTACCTGTGTACCGAACCCTGCTTGCCATTAAACCTGCCTTTTTGCGTGAACCGTTCTGAGTCCAGCATTTGTGTCCACCTGTCTGTCAAGTGAGTTCATGACACTTGATGCATTTAACTAACATGCAGAGTTAGTTTTTATAGTATTGGCATTGTAAAAACCAGGTTAAATTTTGGTTTAATAAATGCTTGCTTAAAATGGTGTTATGTGTAATTTTTTTTTCATTTAAAATTGATTCCATTAAAGCATTCCTGGAGTAAAAGGTAAAATACAATTTTAAAATTAAGTAAGTACAACCTAATTATTTTGATAATTAATCATCACAACATTTGTAAAACTAACACATATGTTTGCTTAAATAGCAGTCTAATTTTCAGTTACATCTACTTTGCATTTGGAATTTTACATACTTAGATTTTTTGGTGGTTTTGACTTGTGAGGCACAATTGCATTGACTCAGAATTTTTGTTATGTCTACTCAATTGTTACATGTCATGGTACTAAATGTAGTTATTTGGACATACTTAATATTTTTTGTTAGATGTACCGAGATCATCAAGTATATTTAAATGATTTCTCAGCTTTTTAATTTACTCAATATTTGTAACTATAAAAATGTTTCCCCAAAAAAATTGAGTAGCGCACATTAATAGTGTTTAGAGTGTAAAGCTCAAAAAAATTACTTTTTGGAAATGCTAAAACATCTATGCCTCTGATCAGGCCAGCTGACAGCCTTCCCTGGGCCAAGATGATATTAGATATTTCGTTGTCACCACCTTTTTAAAAATATTTTTAAGCAAATCTCTAAGGCCTCTATTTTCTTCCTCTCTTTTTCTCTTCTTTTTCCTTTTCTGAGCACCAGACTTCTGCTGAGCGGACATTTTGGTGCCGAAGGGCAAAATCCGAACTTCCAATAAAAGGACATCAAATTTTGATCAGAGGCCAAACCATTTTATGTTGGAGGTGGGGGTGGAGGGCAATTCCAAAGATATAAGACAGTTCAGACGAAAACAAATTAAAACTTCTCACTCAAATATTGAACTGTTTCTTTCCATTAATAGCCCTTCTTTGGAGAAAAAAAATCCATAATTCAATGAGGGTCCAGTTCTTTCTCTGGTTTGAGTTACCTCCCTTTGTGAAATTGAAAACTCAGAGTTTCCCTCATTTCAGGGTTGACAGACTCAGAGTGTTCACTAAACCTGCTTTGTGAAATGGACCCCTGGTCCTTCCAGACAGACAACGGTGGTATGATTTTGATTAATTTTTGAGTTTAAACACGTTCAAATATCTTAAATGGCAAATGCTGTGCTGCTATGCAAATACTGAAAATGTAGGTAAATGGGCTTACACATTCAAATTCATAAATACTAGTATATTTCATTAATTCCTCAGGTTCTTGTAGTCCTCAGGTCCTGAGACACAGATGAGATTTATTTAAAGTGAAAGATTGTGGCCGTGGATGCCGCAAATACTTGAACATGCTTGAGATGTGCCTCGACTGCTAAATGAACACCTATCTGTGATGTCCATCGGCTAATAGAGTCCTCATCTCACATTAAAAGCCATGAATAATCGTAAATATTGACTAAATGACTTGTAAAATCTGGAGAGTCTTCTGTTAGTTGAACTAAAGGTCAAAGCTCCCATTTCCACGGAACCATTCGGGATGATTAAATAATCCATGAAACTAGAAGAAGTTTCTAGTTAATCGTACAGAAAATAAACACATCTTCAGTGCCTTGCTGAACAGCATCTTTGTGTTAATGTTGTGGTTTCATGTTGCATTTTTTGAGATATACTACATACAAAAGACAAACATTAATAGGAAAAGCGTCTCTTTCATGGAAATTACCCGTTACTCTATGACTGAAAACGACATGTTGGCCGGTCTTAATTTTAAAGTCTTTACCCCTGAGGAGTCCATGGTGCTATTTAATCACACTGTGTATTAGGTAAAGATGACCCAGATAATGATGTCAGCAGCATACAATATAGCAGAGGTAAGCAGAATTCAATAGACATGTTCTTGTTGCTGTACTCATTTTGTTTCTTCACTTTTTTATTTTTGTTGTCGTTGCTCTACTTGTTTTTTGTTCTGTTTGTGACCCTGCTCCTGTTTCTATTTTTTGCCGTTTTTCTGCTTGTCATAGTTGATTGTTTTGTTCTTCTGTTTTCTCAGAATATTACGCTTTCACTCACTTCGGAGGCCAGGATTGGGGTGTAGAACTTCTCATTATCCTTTACCGCTGTGGATCAAAATTCCCTGAGCCCATGGAACTCCCCCACCATCTCCCACCTTCAACAAAATGCCTCATGGACCTGGTTAATCAGCAGGGTACACTCCACACTCGCCGCTCCATCTAGGACTAAGGCTGCCAGTTTTGCCTGATCCTTGAGGTACGGCTGCTGGTGCAACTTATAGTCCCGCTTCTTCTGAGGGAGCCATCTCTCCCATCCCTTCATAGCTCTGGTCTGTTCATGTTCCTGCCTTTCCCTAATGGGAGATTCACCCATTACCAGTCTCCTAATGAGTTCTAAAGACTCAATCAGTCCAGGATTTTGATCCCTGACCAGTTCCGCCGTGGCCCTCATCTCATTCTCACCGTCTTGTATCTCCACCCTTTCCAATGCACCACTCAGCCGAAGATGGCTTAAGTTTGGGGGAGGTTGTGGAACAGTCGGGGCCTCTGGGGTGGTGGAAGCATCTCTAAATCATCATCTGGGCCATGGCATGCTTAAGCAGCTAGCAGTAGCCTCTGTTTACTCCTTACCTGTTCTGCTGTTTTCTCAGTCTTAAGCTCCTGAGCTATGAGTGTATTAATTCTGGACTTGCCTTCCTGCTTCAGTGTCAGCCTAACAACTATGGCCACTTCTTCTGCACTCAACAGCTTGGTACCCTTACTCTCATTAGTTATTGCCCCTCTCCTCTCAATCCTTTCCCTGTTCAGCTCCACTGGATGGTTGTATCGCTTGTGCTGAGTCAGGCCAGTACCAGTCCAAAAGCCTTGAACTCAGTTGAACTCAAACTCGCAGTTGAACTCAAAGTTGTTGACCCGTTCAGGATCGGGCAGGAGAACCTCCATACTTAATGGGTCCAGGTCTCTACTTGTTTCACCTGGGTCCTGGAGATCCTGTACCAGAGGCGTTGTATCGCTCTCCTCAGTTATGCCCTCATTACCATCAACTGTGTCAGTGGCCCCCGCTTCAGCTTCAACAGGTTGTGGTGACAGCACAACCTCCTCATTCTCTACCCTGATTGCCAAATTGGAGAAGGTCACTGATTCGATCATCACTTGAGGATCCTCAGTCCTTGGTGTGCTCCCCAGGTATTATAAACACCAATCATAGACTGAGGTCTGCGTATTTACTGCACAGGTCCTTATGTTCAACATTGGTCACTGTGGGGGGGCTGTCATGGTCCCCACACTTGTCATTCATGGGACCACGCCTTGCGCACCAGTGGGCTTGTCCCATCGCCCACTGGGGACATTGCTTTGCCAGTACATCTTGGATCCAATCCCAAACCAAAGAGTGAGGAAGCTTTGCATCTCCAACATGGACCCCTCTCGTAGCCCCGTTGGCACCCATTTTGATGAGCCATATATTATATATATATTGTTTTTCATTGCCATAATGTTTGTGATCCAGTTACATGCACCAGTTGATCAGGCTGATGCCCAGTTGGAAGTCCTCATACTCAATCTGAGATGCCATGGAGAAGAGGCAGGCAGAAATCACAGGGACGAACAATCTTGCATTGGAAATATACCCAGGATATCTCACATCGGAGAGCCTTGGCTGCACAGCCTTAAGAAGTGGAGTCATAATTACTCCTGCCATTTACCTTTGACTTTGACTTTGAAAATCTTTAATGTCCCTGGAGGGCAATTTGGTTTGCAGCAAAAGTTAGAATCACACAGTAAAATCTCACATGGCACACATGATAATACAAATTATACAAACATACATACATACATGGTCATCATAAATTACAATACAGTATATTATCCCCAACACGTTCACCTACAGCATATTAAGAAA